AAAGGTGAAAGGAAACTGTTTCTAGGATTGATGGTGGAGGTTGTTATGGTTAGTGTCTAGTTGTCCCCTAAAGCCTCATGCAGTCATAGGGCAGCTTCTAGAGTTGGTGATTGATTCTTGATCCAATACTGGGATTGCAGATGTGAATGCTACACCCTGATCCTGGAGTGATCTGCATTACAATGTAAAGAGGGGGAAAGAGGCTAGCTAGCTGAGGGAGCTGCTGTCTCTCCCTTTGCTCTTTGTCTCCACCACGAATGGCTGTTCTGTTCCATTGCCAACTCTGCCTTGGGGCCAGCTGTGTATGGGCTGAAACTTCCACTAACTGTGAGATAAATAAACCTTTCTTTCCTTAATTTTGGGGTTGGATATTTTGTCCCAGAAATAAGAGAAAAGTAACTGAAATGTCAGGTGAAGAAGGAGGTGGTCTCTGGGAGGACAAGCTGCTGTGCCTTGGCTTCAGCCAAGTTAGATGACCATCACAGTAATTCAGCAATTTATACTCAGGCCAAATCTATCAGTAAGGTGTGATAGTTTGGACCAAAAATGTCCCTCAAAAGGTTCACATGCTTAGACATGGGGCTCTGGAAGGTGATTAGATCAAAAGAAGGCTTTCTAGTTGATGATATATTAGCAGGTGGGCCTAGCTAGAGGGAGTCACTGAGGTGAAATCTGTAAGAATATATTTTCATCCTGCATTCCCTGCTCCTCTAGCTCTTTCCAGCTTTTTCCGCTCCCTGGTGACACTGAGGTGAGCAGCTTTCTTCTACCATACCCTTCCCCATGATGTTTGTTTGGAGATACTATGGTTTGTGTCTGGATGTACCCCCAAAGCCTCGGGTTAAAAGGGGTGGGCTTTTTGTAGGTGGCTGAATCCAGAATTTGTGATTAATTCATGGTCCAATAATGGGATTAAGGGTGTGAGTGTTACACCAGCTGTAGGGCAAAAAGTCTGCACACAATAAAAGAGAAAGAGATATCAGTCTCTCTTGTTGCTTTTGGTATCTTCTGCCACCATGAACTTGTTTTCCCTCTGCCATGTGCCACCCTGCCTTGGAACCATCTGATTATGGACTGAACCTCTACAAACTATGAGTTAAATAAGCCTTTCCCCCTTTAACTTTTGTCTCAGCAACAAGAAAACTAAATAAGACATGAGCTAATCAAACAAAACACTGAATCCTTTTGATGTTTAAGTTATGTATGTCAGGTCTTTTGTCACAAAGACAACCTGATTAATACATAAGGTCATTAGAGCAGGTATTTCCATTTTACTATGCAGGTAAGAACAAGCAGACTAACTGGATCTAAAAACCAGACCCTTTATGCTACACTATCCTATAAGTAAGAACACTGACTCTGCCTAGCACTTGGGATGCTGATGCAGGAGGACTGTGATTTCAAAGCCAGCCTGGCTAGACAGAAAGTTCAAAATCATCCTGAACTACACATTAAAACTCTTTTTTAAAAAAGAACACACTATGGATGAATAACGAGTTTGACTTCAGTATAGTAAACTAGAAAGAGCTACTCCTTCCCCTGGGCAAGGGGTGGATAATTTACAAAATCATAGCTTTTCTTGAACACAGAGAACTGAGGCAACTAGGGAGGGGCAGGATTCTTCACATAGAGATGTGAGCTAAGCACACGGGCACCTGGGGCAGGTGTGAGATGTCATATAAGTCATAAAAAAAATGCAGCTAGAAAAAAAATGCACCTACAGGGCTGGGAAGATAGCTCAGCAGTCTAAGCACCTGCCTGGCAAGCACAAGGACCCAGGTTCGAACCCGAGTGCCACACCAGCCTGGAACCCAGGGCATACTGTGCATGGTGGCACACGCCTGTAATCCCAGCACTGGGGAGGAAGAGATAGGAGGATCCCTAGAGTCTGAGCTGTATAGTGAGATCCTGTACCAAATAAATAAATTAAAAAAGAGGAAGAGGAAGAGGAAGAGGAGGAGGAGGAGGAGGAAGAAAAAGAAGAAGAGGAGGAGGAGAAGGAAGAGGAGGAGGAGTAGGAAGAGGAAGATGTAGCCACACTACCAATACTGCACAGACTGTGGTCCCAGGGGGCTGATGATGGTGAAAGGAGGTGGAGATCAGGGGAGAAATGAGTTATACCCTGTGGTGTCACATGGCGACATGCATCTGTCAAAATTTGCAGAGCTGCAAAAACGTGAGAAAACTCACTGTGAGAGTGAATTTACTGTATGTAAATTTAAAAGAACTCTTGTTTCAGAGAGAAGAAGACCAACATGACTACTATGTCATGTTTTCCTGACTGCTGGCCATGTTCCCCCAGAACAGCCATGGAATGTGAGACATCTCTGTAAATCACCACTTTTAAAACCCACTACATGTGTGTGAAACCTTCTTAGTCAGACTTACCAACACACAAATAAATTACCCACATTCCAACTCCTCAGGAGCCCACGTCCCACATAAGCCAGCATAGGCAGTAAACATCACCACATTGAGCTTGGATTCTAGGCTCTAAGCTCTACCACCAACTGCAGCCTCATCATAATTCACACATTTCAAATTCATAACTCTACTGAATACAGTGGTGCATACCTGTAACCCCAGCTACTAAAGAGGCTGAGGCAAGAGGATCACAAGCTTTTTGCCTGGGAAAAATAGAGAGATTTCATCTCCAAATAAGAAAAACATAAAAAGGATATAGCTCAATGGCAGAGTGACTGCCTACTATGTTTGTTCCTGGGTTTAATCTCCAGTATTGAAAAAAAAAAATCACAACTCAGAAAATGACACAGATTGTAAACTTTTTGGGTCATGTGCAGGAAAGCAAACCCAATCAACAAATCTGCAAATGCCTCTAGGCACAGTGGTACATACCTGTAATCGTAGGACTCTGGGAGACCGAGGCATGAGGACTGCAAGTTTGAGTTCAGCCTGGACAATTTAGTTTAGTGAGACCCTGTCTCAAAATAAAAAAATGGGCTGGGGGCAAACTGGGTTTTGTCCTTAGTACTGCCATCATCACCATCCCCAAATTGCAAATGTCTTCAGCTAAAAAACAGCCTTTAGCCAGATATGGTGGCACATTCCTGTAATTCTAGCTATTCCTGAGGCTGAGGCACGAGGATCACAAATTTTAATAATTTATCAACACCCTTCTCTAAAAGGGGGGGGGCATTGCTGAGGATATAGCCTAGTGGGAGAACATTTTTTAATAGGCATGAGAGGCCCTGGGGTTAAATACCACCACAGGGGTGAGGCACGAAAAAACTATAGCCTTCAAACTAAAACAGAAGCCTTTAAGCCTGCACAGTCACAGACACCCTGATAAAAGCAAAGAAAGCTGTCCCACACTGGAAAAGCAGATGCCAGGTCAAACTGCGATGGCCAGAGACCACTGTAATCTCAGCAACCACCCCACAAAAAGTATCATCAATTTTTAAAAGATTATTTTTTAAATGTCAACACAGGACCTGCCCCATTAGAATTTCAGTAAAAGAATAATGCTGTAAGAAAAGAGGTATTTTCTCCTCTGTAACAGAAAGTTCCCCTATGAATAGCATGGGATACAGGAGAGATGAAAGGTCAATGTGGGAAAGTAACAGTAACAGTTGCAGATATACATTTAACCACTTCCCTGACTCAGAACAAAGAGTTTCAGGGCTCATCAGTGACACAGAGGCTACCACAGGGACAGAGGATAATGAACAAGTCCCAGGACCCCTAACCTGTTTCCCATTAAAAGCACCATCTGTGTTTCCTTCTGAGGGGAACAGGGTCTTAAAAGCAGGTTTGTTGTTGTTTAACTAAAATCCATGACTCTTTACTTGGACCTATAGATTCCCAATAGGTAACTAAAAACAGAACCAAATCTGACACTCATTTATCACCTTAACACTTTGAAGATAGTACATTAATCATTTAGGAAAATTTTGCAGAGCCATGTTGATTAGCCTTAAATTTCCCTAGTTATCTCATCCCTCTTCAAGACCACAGACACTAAGAGATCATCTGCAGGAACACACAGGATACTTTGCTGTCTGAGGGGCCCTGAGTCTGGGGTCAAGTTGGATCCCAGCACACTCTCACATCTGAACTGCTCCAAGCAAGGGACCATCATGCTATCAACATTCCTCTGCAGCTACAAAGCTGGCCCTGAGACAAATCAACCAGCTCCACAGCCCCCATAAAATTGCTATCTACTCCTCTGTCACAGAGTCAGTCTGACCTCCCTCTTCAGACCTGTGCCCCTTGATTTCTCAAACCAAAACCTTTCCCTACTTCTTTGCCTTTGTTAAGTGACCAGGTTGACCTTTGTTAGAGCTGTACTCCTCTTTATTTCCCCTTACTTTCCAATTTAAGCTCTTGCCTATGAATTCATGCTGAAAGCCTCCATTTTAATTTCCATTTTCAGTGAAGCAAGGGCCCATGCTAGCTGGTGACATCATTACAGACCACCTCTCACCACACTAGATCACTGAATCCCTTCCAGTAGTTTTGCTATGATATCTTATCCTAATTTTCAAGGAAAAGTTTAGTTTTTAAACTTTCAGAAGAGAATTAGTGAAAAGAAAATTTAAAATTCTGGAATTCTTTAAAACAAGAGCTCAGTTAAAGCTTAGCTTAAGGCTTTTCTAATTGCTTCCTGGCTTTTTGGCTAAGATCAAGTGTATAAGGCTTTTCTTTAGCCATTAGTAACATGACGATTATAAGTAACAAGCAGCTAAATTTAGTTTTACTCTTTTTTTTTTGACTTGTATTCATGTTCATAGCCAAACAGAATAAACTTACACTTCCTTTAGATCAGTCATTCTTAATAACTGATATGTTTCAGAATCCCGTTGGGTGATTTTCTAAAATACACACCTGGTACCTATCCAAGATCTTTGGAGTCAGATTCTCCAGTATGAAAACCTCCCTAAGAGATATTCACACACACTGATGGTCATCACTGCTCCATGCCAGAGTCACCGCACTTAAGAATTACTTTACTTGAAAGGGAAAAAAAAAAAATTACTTACTTGTTACAATTCCAGCCAAAGCAAAAACAAACTGGTTCTCATCAGAATCAAGCTCCTTGACATCCCCATCCAGAGACTTCACAAAACTCTCCATTGTTTGGCCAGTGATGCTGAAAAACTTTGAGGCTTTATCCTAAAGTTTGGAAATGGAAGTATCACAAATTTTCACAGATAAAGTGTAAAAAGTATTCTAGAAGTGTAGGATACAGAAGAAAGATTCTGGTTAAAATTATTGAAGGAATACTTAAAAATCTATTTCTCCATAAAAGTTCCCATTAAGAGATCAGAGAAAATAGCATGGGGTACATAGAAATAAGAGAAACTACCCCAGGATTGCTATGTTTATATCTATCTACATATATAATGAAGTAGGACAGATTTACACAATGATGGATGTACTAGGATACACTAACACAAAAATATAAACTAGAAAAAATAGCTTATACATTTTAGAATATTCAAACCTTTAGCAGATCTTTTTTTCAAGACAATCTTAACTGAAACCACAACATGTAAAAGAGACACAGTAAATAGGCTCCTCTCATAGTTCAAATCCTTATCATTTAGCAAAAAGTCCACATTTGCAGAATGTCTGTGTAACTTACTTGGGGGTAGTAGGGTTCTGAGAAGAATTTTAAAACCAAGGTATATTTTAGTTAAGTTTAAAAAAATTAGGAAAAGAAAAGCTCAGTGCTCACACTTAAAAAGGCAGAAGGGCACTTCCTGGTAACAGAAATATTCTAAGACTGGAATACACATACAAACTTTAAAGAATATACAGCATCAAAAATGCTAAATACTGTATTAAATTACCCATGAGATAAAATATAGAAAAGTACCTGAAACCATGTTACACTCTTTACATCCACAAGTTTAACAATACTGAAGTGGTAAAAGATCTGCAAATACCCATGGATACTGAAAGATCAAAGACCTACTGAATTCATTTTACACATCTCCAATACCAGGTCAAAGGACTGCACACAGCCAGTATCTGCTGATGGTCTGATGAATGAACTAGTGCCAATGGATAGGAGATAGGAACTCAGTCTCTCAATTCTCAGCAGACACACAGCCTCTCTAAGCTATATCAATAGCATCCAGAGAACTACTGGGCATGCTTACTCCTCCCAACATGGCTTTGACGACCTCCTCACTGCTGGAGACACCCCACAGCAGGGTGCAGGCAGCTGCTCCCATTTCTGTACAGTATTCTGCCTGCTGCAAAAGCTGCTGCTTTGCTTCATTCAGCTGCTGTCGAAGAGCCAGTTTCTCCTAAATTCACAACAAAATAAAATCAGAAAAACAGATATCTGACCTTTAAATATTTCTATTACATCTCCTCTTTCACAGAGATATTGATTAAAGAGATGTATGCAGAATTGTAGAAAACAGTTGCAAATGAAAACTAGTGCTTGAGAGTCACTACATTATTAGATAACTCCAAAGATCTGAATCCTTCAGCTTTAAGTAGAGTCAAAACAGGAGGCACCTTAAGTGCCAAGTGGCTACCCCCAATGGGAACTCCTGAGCAAAGTAGCAAGTAAACCCACAGTTTAGACACAGGGAAGCACTTCTGCATCTTCATGGCTCACCCTACTATCCAGACACCATAGACTGGAGGATGACACAGAATAAAGGCACTCCCAGACACCCCACAGGACAGAGTATTCAAGGCTATCTTGGGTTATATAGTGAGCTCAAGGGCAACCTCAACTACATAGCAAAATCCTGTCTCAAAGACAAGAAAAGTAACAAAAATTATGCTGGACACAAAAAACTACCTGTTGCATGTAGTGGTTGATTGATTGATTATAACAACTAAGTTTAGAAGCTTAACTAAATCAGCTCAGCAATCCTATACCCAGAGTGCAGAGGATCCACCCTAGGGTGGCTCACTGCCCGGAAGATATAAAAGGGAAATGACAAAGGACAGACAGGTTTCCATTCTTCAGAGGAGCTCCAATGTTCACCTTCAGCTTGGACATCATTTCCTGGTTTATAGTTCAGACTCTTCAGCCTCTGCCATGGATCCTTCAGTCTCATTAGCCTTCTGTTGCAGACCTACCAGCCTCCTCATATGGATTTACATGGAACACTGCAGTGAACTCCAGACCTTGGAGCCAGAGTTGTAATTTCTTCTACATTTGTATATCTTGCTATTTGGTAGTAAAACCTTGACTGATACATTGTATGATTCTGTTTCTACAAAATAGTCATAAAGCCAAATCTAGAGACAGAAAGATCAGTGGTTTCCTAGGGCTTGGTAAGAGAGCAGAGACTAAATGCAAGAGATATGTGACAGAAATATTTAAAAACCTGATGATTGTCAAAACCCAACACTCATTATGATCATTAACCATGAAATATGAACTCAACGTGAGTAAGAGCACCCTATAGTTTAGCAAGTTCTGGGTGTGACTGTGGGCTTCTGAAATGTGGGCCATCAAACTAAGGATGGGTGGTTAGACTTACCTTGGATGTGACATCAATTAATATGCTTGTAGCTTGGGAAGAATAAAAAAGGAAGTATCTTTTTCCTCCTCTTCCTCCTCTCCATGCCTCTTCCTCCTCTCCCTTTCCCCTTCTCTTCCCCCTCTTCTTCGCCTTCAGACATTGGTCACCAGTTCCTTTACTCTTCCTTCTATCATAGTTTTCAGACTTCTAATACAGACTCTGTCTTTCTGGTATAGAATCACATTGGAGACTGCAGTGAGCCTCAAGACCATCATCTTTTGACTGCTAATGGATCCTCCAGCTCTCTAGTGAGAGACAACCATTCTGGATTCTGCCAACTCTGATCCAATAGATGGACACTGGAACTCTTTTGCCTCTGATCCTATAAGCTACCTAATAAATTCCTTGTACAATCCTTCCTGTATTTTTTATTAAATCTCTTCCTCTACAGAAACTAACTAATACATATTTTGGTACAAGGAGTGAGGTTGTTGCTGTGACTATTTGATCATATGGTTCAGAAGCCTCTGGAACTGATTTGTGGGAGAATCTATAAAGTCTTGGAGATGCCAGAGAGGAATAAGCCCTAAAATGCTGTCAGCTGAGCTTGATGGGAGATTCTGATCAGAGCTCCAAAAACTAGAATGCAGACAGTAAATACCAGGCTCAGTAAAGATCAGGCTCAGGGAGCAAGAACTCAATTGGCAGCTGAAATAAAGACCATGTATGTTAGCTCTGTTAATAAAACAGAATCTGTCTACGTTTAATACACACTAAAATTAAGGGCAGCAAACTAATCTATTAGAGGAAATTTCAAGGCAGTTTGGTATCAGGCTGAAGCATGGGAAGTGCTTTCTGCCTTTAGCAAGATCTATGAGAATCAGGAGCAAAAAATCCTATTTAATAAGTTTTATTATGTCAGAAAGGAAGTGCCTACAAAGAGAAAAGAACACTGTTAATAACATTTTTAAATGTTTAATTAGTAAATGTCTACAGCAGTATCTAATGATATTTATCATGGGGAGTGAGTACATTTATATAACACATCTTAATTCTATTTATGTCTCCATCCCCTCCCTGTTGCTGAAAGATTAGCATTAGAAGAAGTCAAGAACTTTACATGGAGACAATAGTAAAGTTGCTGTGAGGGCACCTCATAAATTATCAAGACACCGTGTTTCATAGGCCTAAGTGTATGAGTAAAAGCCTTTGCTTTAAGAAGAGAGCATCAGGGCACCCTGTTCCACAAAGGCTGCCTAGGAAACTGGTTTCTTACGATCATTTACAGTGCTCAGCCAGTGAGGCAGTTGGAGACCCTACAGACATGATTCAAGGAGATTTAGCTACTACTGCTTGAGCTGGTGAAGACCTTGATTTCATCCACAAGATGCTAGGTTTATAAGCAGGAAGAATGCAAGAGTTGTGGGATCAATAACGATTCTAAACATATTTCAGAAGAAGGTTTGGGAGACCAGGCAGTATGGCTATGAGAAGATGACTATGAAGTTCTACCACTGAAGTCAAAAGTGCAGTGGAGAGCCCCAAGAAGTTGAAGATGCCAGGAATGTAGAATATCTGCTCAAGAAAGCAGCAGGGAGTAAGCAAAGCCACCCTAAGAGAGAAGCCATGAGAGCTACAACTATCAGAGTCATACCCAAAGGGCTACCCAAGTTATTTGGAGTACATATCTTGCCACAACTTGTCTTGTGCTGGACACAGAACTACAGAATTTAATGTCTGCCTGCTTTGGTCCCATTCCTTTCTATAACATTTCTCCCTTTGTTTACCCTGTGACACTGTATATTGACAGTGTTTAACTTTCTGATTTTAAAAGGTCATGGCTAAGAGTCTGCCTTAAGTCTTAAAGAATATTTTGGACTTGAACTTTTTAGTAATGCTGTTACATATTACTAAAACTCTGGTAACTACTAGAGATAAACTAAATGCATTTTGTATAGAGATGCATGAGTCTTTTGGGGGCCAGGGGCAGAATATATATAGTTTATATCTAGAATGTTTTCCCAAAGCCTTTTGTGTTTCAGAGGGGGGGGCTTTTGGATGCTGATTGGATTATGGGACACTGTTCTCATTAATGGATCAATTCACAGATAAACTCAGCTAAATGTGTTGTTAGGAGGTGGGACTTGATTAAAGGCAGTTCTCTGGGAAGGAGGTTACTAGAAGAATATACTGTTTCTCTAGAAGGGTATATCTGTCCCCTTGGTTTCTTCTTTATCTCTATGATGTGAGAAGTTTTCTGCCACCTAGGCCCTTCTACCATGCCATTTCTACCTTTCTAACCTTTTTTAAATTTTCTAACCTTTCCTCCTTTAAGTTGCGGGTATCAGGTATTGTGCCTCAGTGATACAAAAATTACTAAAAAAAAAAAAAAAAAAAAAAGAAAATTTCAACAAACTAAGAATAGAGGGAGACTTCTTCAGTTTCACAGAGGGCTGGCTAGATAGCTCAGCATATTAAAGCACCTGCTTAGGCAGACACAGGGATGGGGGTTTGATCCCCAGAGTGCCATGTCAGCCCCACCCCTGGGGCACGGTGAGACGGGGATTGAGACTGGGCTGGGCGTGGTGGCATGCACCTGTAATCCCAGTACTTAGGAGGCTGCAAATAGGAGATCTGTGTAATGAGACCCTATAGACCCTGTACTGAAAAAAAAAAATCATAAAAAATATATACCAAAGAAACCCTTATGGCTAAAATCACAATGTTGAAAAGCCAATGCTTTCTCCTGAAATCAGAAACAAATCAAGGGTCCAATCTCATCCTTCTTGTTCAATACAGTAGTAGGATTTCCAAGCAGCACAATAATAGAAGAGAAATACAGAAAGGTATTTCTGAAATACCTTTTCAGAAATACAGAGCAGTCGGAAGAATTAGAACTATATATCCCTATTTGCAGAAACATAATTGTTGATGCAGAACCTAAGAAATACACACAAAAAACAACTGCATTTCTATATGCTAACAACAAAAGAGTGAAAACCAAAATTAAAAGCCCAATACCATTTACAACTGCTACAAACACAATGAAGCACTTGGAGGGAAAATGTAACGCAACATATATGGAATACGTATTCTGAAAATTAAAATGCCGGTGAAAAACATTAAAGACAAATAAATGGACAGACATACTAAAAGATAGTAATTTTCTACAAACTGACTTACAGACATGACACAATTCCAATCAAATTCCTAGCAAAATATTTTTTGGGGCACTGATAAACATCCTATAATGTATGTGGGGAAAAAAAAATCAAAGGATGCCAATACAACTAAGACAAAAGTCTGTGATCCCTGTCCAGGACTGCACAGATCACAGGGTGGGACCCTGAAAATGCATTTTAGACCCGAGGAACCAGGAAAGAACCCAGGGGCTGGAATTCTAGATTAGAGCATTGTCAGTACACACTTCAGTGTCAGGGAAGGCGGAAATGACTGAGTCCAGCATCCGAGGAAAGGTCGAAAGGAAAAGGAGTCAGTATCAGGAAGAGGTGTGCTGTGTGGGCAGCAGCAACTCCCAGTCCCCAACGGAAGGTTCTGAGCAGAGGCTTTGTCCCTGGTTGTTCTGGAGCTGATTCCTCTTCCTTAAGCAGCCCTTGAGTTGGATCAGTCAATGAGGTGAGTCAGGGCTGGATGTCTCCTTGTGGTATGTGGAGTTACCCAGGACAGAGTCCTAGCAGTAGCCACCTTTGAATCCTGGGAAAAAAGGTTCCTCCTCGATGGCACAGGCACAACTGTCAGAGAGCACTGGATTGCTTTGTAAGGACTCACTGCTGCTTGAAGGTTTGACTTCACTAAGCATCTACACCAGGAACTTCACCTTGCTGGCCCGAATGTCCTAAGTATCAGAGTGATCACAGATGAAGACAGTTCACCTGTCTTCTCTCGGGGGAGCTGCTGTCCCAAGGCTCACCACGGTCCTATGCTTTCTGTGTGTTCTTTTCTGGTGCATGCACCTTTCAGTCAGCAAACCAACTAAGATGTCAATTGCTTATATTTGCCATTTGTATTTTTATTTTCTATAATTTGATTTGCTAGGAAAGAACTGTTACTTTTATGATGATAAAAGGGAAATTGTTGCCAACATTAGTATAATGTTTGAAGAAATTTTTTAAAGAAAACTCATAATATAGTTCAGCTATGATCAGAAACGGATTATAGATTTTGAAAGGATCTTGAAAGTTTTGTGCCTGATACCCTATTTATATATGAGTGCTCACCTCAGAGAAAAATCCCAGGGTTTGAATGCTACATCTTCACAACAGCCTTATTTAGGTATATTTTATATACCATCAAAGTTTGTTTTTGTTTCTAAAGTTTGATAATTTTTAGTAAGTTTATACAGCTAGACAATCCCTATAAGTTTGCCTTTTAGTTGCTGTTAACAATTCTGAGGGATAAAGCTAGTGGTATAGAGTACAAGGCTATACAGACACTGCCACCCAAGAGAAACAGCCTTGTAGAAGCCAACCTGCAGGGGTTTCATCTGTGTTGAATAGTCCTGGCTGGAATATTTCCTAACTGGAAATAAAAGACAGTGTAGGCTAAGACAGTCTCATACTTTAACTGAAATCTAAATATCAGGGCAATAGTAATACACCAGAGAGCTGAAACTATACTAGCTCGGTCATTTCATCCTTCAATTCTGGCATTTACTGGCATGGCTTATTTTTAAGCAGTATATCTACAATGCCAGTAAAACATCTATTTTTCCCTTTGCCTGTTAATTTTTTTAAGGAAATTTAAGATTCTGCTCGATATATCCTTCAATCTTAAAAATATCTTAGCAACTTAAGGAAGGACAGGATCGATGGATTGCATTTGTCACAGTTTTCAAATTTCTTCTGGCCTGATAGTGAAATTGTTTCAGAGCATGAAATGTTTAGCCCAAAACTTCCCGATGTCCATTTTAGCTTATTGTGATCTATATAGAATATGGCAAAACTAAGCTTCAACTTGAAGGAGGGGGTACCCAATCTAACTCAGGCCAAAGAGCACAACCCCCTCCTATGCTGATCTGCTTGCTCAGGACTTAGCATGCACAGAGGGTCAGAGACCTAGCAGACACAGAAAGTCAGAACTACTCTTATACGAGGAGGAAACAAAGATGCAGGTCAGCTTCAGGCAGTGGGCCCTGGACCAGCCACTCAGCCCTCCTCCAGGGATACTCACTGAGACACCTGCGGGAGGGTGGGGGGGACCAGCCACTGCCACCTGCCAGCATATACTAGTGGCTATCATTATTAATGCCATTTTATTATTCAAAAATAGAAATATATACAAGTCCTCCCACCTCCTTTTTGGTACTGGGGATCAAACACAGGGCCATTACACTGAGCTATATCCTTAACCCCTTTATTTTTTATTCTGAGATGGGGGCTCATTAAGTTGCCCAGCCCAGCTTGAACTTGCAACCCTCCTGCCTCAGTGCTAAGTTTATAGCTATGCACCACAATGCCTGGCATGAGTCCCAAATTTTACAAGCTGCAAAATAGGAGATGCAATTTTATGGAAACAAAGAGGAAAGAATTTGTCACTCAAAATATAAAACATTTCAACAAATTATTATAGCTTCGCCTAATACTGAAATAAAACATAAGGTTATTTCTAAAATGTCAGTAATACCAAATTATACATACTTCTGATTTAATATATCTAGCTCCAATATAAATCATTATATGCACAATATTTTCCCTAGATTATGATCCTTTATGTTTTGCAGTGAATTTTTTTAACACGAAAATTAAAATGTACTAAATGATATATATACCAAATGGTTATAAAATTCCAAATGCTCACTTGTCTTGCAACACATGCAGAATACACACATTCAAAAATCACCACTTCCTAAGGATTAGGGAAGAAAATATAAGATCCACTGCTCGTGGTGGGGAAAGGGTGGTAAACCAACATGGCTTTCTGGACATGCCTGAAGAACCTAGTCCTGGTTGCCCTACCTTCTTCTCCCTTCCACTGTCAGCCTGCAAAGTTTCCAGGCGGGCTTTGAAATGCTCACAGTCCAGTTTTAGCTGCTCCAATTCTTGCTCTTTCATTTCCAGGTCTACAAGAAAGAAACACAACAATTCTCAAGAAAACATAAACCACAAACCTCTCCTAAGCATCTATTTACTCTATCTTCCCTTAGCAAGGCCTACACTTATTTCTTAGGTCAGAATATTCATGTTTCTGACTGCTAATGGTCCCTGAACAACCAATATTCTTGAACTCTTTTTCTTTTGTTCTTATTAGTTTTTAGTCCAGAGCAGAAAGGACTTTTGTTGCTTTGCTTTGTGCTTTGATGGCCTCCCTTTACTGCCAAACGTGTACTCAAGACTTCAAGAATGTGTTATTTAAAGGACTGAAAGCAGAGCTGAGGAGCCTGACTGTCTCATGGCACAGACTTGTATCTGTTCTGTGAGAAACAGAAGGCAGCCTGGTGCAGAGATGCTGCCAGCAGGGCTGATTCACAAAGCAAGGCCCACCGCCTGGCAGATGGCTCAATGGAACAACTGCATAGCAGTCACCAACAAGGCAGCCACAGAGCCCACGATGAGAGAGCATCACGGTGAGGGGGAGGAACTACGCATACTACTTCCTCTCCACTACATTCATGACTGGATGAGTCAAATGGCCAACAAAATTCCCAAAGGCAGCCACATCAAAGTATTATCAACTTTAAATATGCTATGGAATACCAATGTTCAAAAAAAATCAAATACAGAGCTGGGGACATAGTTCAGTGATGCAGCATTTGCTCTTTAGAGCTAAGAAATCATCTACTTTATACCATACAACAACAGATAGATAGCAAGATCTGAGGGGAACTATTGCCAGGAGCTAATGGTGTGACTTCTCTCACTGGAGCATTAATGCATCAGGACAGTAGTTCTAAGTCTATTGTACATCCAGGGCACCTGCAGGATGTGGGCCCCATCCACACAGTCTGGGATTCAGTACACCTGAAAACTTAACGTTCCTAACAGTTCTTAGGTGAGGCAGCTGCTGCCAGTCTGAGAACCATGGAAGACAGCCTCATTTCTCTCATCACTAGCAACATGAAAGGCACAGACAACCCCAACCAGCACCAGCCAGCAAGTTCAGCCATAGCGCAGTGAAGGGGGCTGGGGCAGTGGGGCTGCAATGAGGGTAAGGGCCTCTAGAACAGATGCCTAGAAAGCAGAACCTTATTCCAGCTTCCAGGAGAAAAGCTAAAAAATGTGCAAAAGAGAGGAGTAATTTACAATCTAGGGGTCTGAGAAGGAAACCCCATAAGCAGCCTGTGAGGTCAGCTCAGAACTACACAGCATGCCCAAAGGTGACAGCGGAAACAAAAGGAGTCCCAGCGCAGACTCTAAGTCAATAACCAGACCACTTAGAAATTATGAAATTGCCTAGAAAAAACTTCTCTTAAAACACATTCCTTAGGAACTAGTGTGAAGTCATTTTGGGCTATTTTATTCCTGTTCTTTTAAGATATCTAGTGCTATGACATGAATTTTACTGGAATTTTCTCCAAATAATCCTGGATATCTAAAAAAGATCAGTGGAGCACTATGTTTTAAAAACTATTTAAAATTGCTTCTTGGCCTTTTTGCTAAGACCAAGTGTAAAAACTATTTAAAACTATACTATTGAATATTGGTAACAGTATTAAATGAAAACATAGTATTCACACACACACACACACACACACACACACACACATAACTACATAAGAAATTTGTGCCATACACAGTCACAGATAAAAAGAAACAAAGTGAAAAAAGAGCTAAAATAAAATTATCAGTGGTTTGCCCATGTGTGGTAACACACATGCACCTATCATTTCAACATTCTGGAAGGCCAAGGCAGGGGAGTGAAAACTCAAGCCCAGCCTGGCCCCTAGTGACCTAATGAGACCCAGGATTCTCAAAATAAACAATTTAAAATTTTAAAAGGGATGGGGATACAGCCCAGTGCAAAGGCCCTGGGGTTCAATCTCCAGTACAAATATAAACAGATACAGCTACAGAAATAAATATCCACAGTTTAAAATTTTCTTTACAGTTAACTTTTTTTTTACAGTTAACTCTTAAAATTTGTTTCTTCTATCAAACTATATATATTATTTGAACATGGTAAGGAAAGAAAATTGTATTTCCACAACCCTTAGCAAAAGATACTTGCACTATGCCAATTTCATGCTCTCTTGTTCTGTGTAGTTGTGCAGGACTTTATTGTAGATTAATATACCAAAGCAACAGGGTCAAAGTAAAGTATTAATCAACAAACAAAGCCATAAAACTCCAGGTCTAAAATGAGAGGCCACACCCACCCACACAGACCCTGAAGGTGGCGACAGGTGGCCTTTCCACTGTGTAAGGCTTCCACCTCGTGGCCATAAAAGAGCATTGCTACTGCCTCCTTACCACTAACTCACACTGTTTTTTGTTTTTTTTGTTTTTTTTTTTTTTTTTGTGGAACCGGGGATTGAATTCAGGCCCTTGCGCTTGCCAGGCAGCGCTTATTCCACTGAGCCATCTCCCTGGCCCTACTAACTTACTTCTTATTGTCAATCTGGTTGCCACCTTCCAGCAGGACAAAGATTTTCCCTGATTTTGTTTTATGCTGCACCTCAAGTACTAAAAAAATATGTGAAACATAGTCAGCACTACCTATATATTTATCACATTAATGAACTTCATTTCCTTACATTTCTGCCTCATCTTTGAACAGAGAAAAACACAGAGCTTTACTTTAGTTTTCTATAGCTTCTGTTATCCTGTGATAAGAATGTATTGTTTCTGCAGTTTCTTAAAAACCCAGGACAAACAAGAGAAACACACAAAACAAAACAAAAACAAAAGTAAAGTGAACCCAAGACAATACTACTACAAGCAGTGAATGATATATATGGTGAAGACATCCTCTTACCAGGACTGCTACTTAGCCTAGCCTTGCTTCAACTGCTACTTCTTAGCACTCAATATGAAAGTAAAATCTCAATCTGTGTAAAGTGGAGGAGGCCTGGACAATGTAATGCACTTCAAGCACCCAAACCACACACTATTTCAGGACCTATGTATTTTCTCAAACTACAATTCTTTTTTGATAGTTTTCAATAACACAAGAATGACTGTTCTCTTTTAATGTTCAGCTTACTCATAGGGAGGGCTTACAGCTGTAAATGAAAAGCAGGATTTCTAAAACACTAATCAAAGAAAATAAAACTATACAGAAGGGGGCCAGTCAAATAGCTCAGTGAATTAAAGCACCTGCAAGTAGGCACAGGGGCCAGGGGCTCAATACCTAGGCGTGCCAGTAGACCCTTCCCTAAAATACAAAAATAAATAAATAAAAATTTTAAAAAGCCTATACAGAAGGGACCAATTTTTCCTAAACTTTATTACTTGCACATTTATAATAAATCACCAACTGTCTTTTTTTTTTGGAACCAAGGATTGAACTCAGGCCCTTGCATTTACCAGGCAAGCACTTATTCTACTGAGCCATCTCCTCAGGCCCATCAACTGTCTTAATATGAAAATGCTTTTGATCAAAGTAGCAGAGTCACAAATTAAAAACATAGGCTTTTTATGTATATAAAACCACAGCCATGAACTATCACCTTCTTATCACCATCTGACATGTTTATAGAAGAATTCAGAGTATGCTAATGGTAGGCTCCATCTTTACTTGAGCTGAGATTTAAGCAGTGATTTAGGACTGTGCTAACAACCACAAATTGGGTGGCTTAGCACAACAAAATTGTCTTGACTCACCAGTCTGGAGGCTACAAATCCAAAATTGAGGTACTGGCAGGGCCACACACCTCCTTGTGCACCTTCTGAGAGCTCTACACATCCTCTGTTTGTGGCAGTGCCTTTCCAGTCTCTGCCTACACTTTATGTGTCCTCACATGCATCTATGCTCCCAAATTCCCCTTTGATAAGGACATGTCACATAGGAGTAAGGCCCACCAGGATGGCTTCATTTTAACTTCACTACAGTCCCTATGTCTACTGTGTAGACCCATTTTCCAACAAAGGTCCTATTCTGAAGAAGCAGGGACTAGGTCTTAACACATCTTTTTTTGGGGAAGTCAACAGGCTGCAGGACCATCTGCCCTATGTGACTTGTGAATCCCTTTTGGTTGAGAGGCATTCTTACTCAGACAGCTTCCCAAAACACAAGGCCCATCTCCAGGATGATTCTGTATCCTTCAAGGTCCCCACATATAATTCCAAAGATGTTTTATGTTTTCATGGGAGTACTTTGTATTTGAGCACACCCTCCACTTGGTAAGCTCTAATGATCGCTGTAGGACATTCTTTACAGGTTTCAAATTATATTGAAAATCAAAATATTCCATAATTTATCTTTTAAAAAAATAATCTCAGGGTCAGAGAGAAAGCTCAGGGGACTAAGCACCTGCTTTGGCAAGCACAGGGATCAGGGTTTGATCCTCGGTTCCACATTCCCTGCCAGCCCCATCCCTGGGGCACACTGAGCAGGCAAATGAGTCTGGGCATGGTGGCACATGCCTGTAATCCCAGCACTGAGAAGGCTGAAAACAGGAGGATTACTACAAATCCAATCCTGTACCAAATACATAAAAAAAAGAAAAAAGACAAGGCTTAAATGCATTTGAAATGCTAGTGCCCATTCTAAACCAAACACTTTAGTTAACTGTCAAAAATTACAAACCAGTTAAAAGCAGAGCATGAAAACAGGTTTTCTTTTTCTGACAAAAATCTGAATCCAAAGCAACATTTCTTGCTCTAATATAAAGGCCATTGGCATCCTGTTCTATAAAATGAGGAAAATGCATGACTAATAACCTGTTCCATATTGTCACTGCCAGGGAATGCAGCACTAGGTGGCATCATTCACTTTTTGTTTTGGTACCTGGAACTGAGCTCAGGGTCTTGTGTTTGTGAAGCAGGTGCTATGCTACTGAGCTATATCCCCGGTCTTTACTTTTCATATGTGAATGATGAAGCTCCCAGCCCACCTAGGAACAGCCAAGGGACTGGATCAAATCATACCCTTTTGATATTTCACATCATGTCTCGGGTGCTA